AATACACAACCGGAAAAAATCTGCCCCTTCCTTCAGATTTCCTTACAGAGCCCCTCCTCCAACACACACGAACATGACCAATGAGGGCACGAGATAAGTTTGTGCACAGATGGAAGGCTGACAGGCAGGTAGGCCATCCAGTTATTTTAACCGGGCTGGCTAAAATGATTGGTCGTGCTTTTTACAGCGCTACGGCTTCCACAGATTTTTTTATGTATTTATTGTCAAAGCATTTAATATATTCATTGCTATCGGGATGTTAAGAGCATTCCATGGAATATAACAAAAAAGTGTTTCTGAAGTGAATTACCTACCCCACCTTTAAGAATCATTAATAGGTGGCTGTGAAAATGAATAATATTAAAATATTGGATATAGAGATCCACTGAGCTTCCAATAGCATCTACTCCAGCCAATACTTTTGTTACATAACACCACATCTATTTAAGGTATTAAAATAACATCAGTAACAGGTTTATTTGAAACACTAAGCTACAATTAATACAATACAGCAGTCTTCAATAAACCCTCAATCGTGGTTACCTGTACTGCGTTATACAGAGAGGTGATTCTTATTTGTAGTTGACACTCATTAAGGAAACAAGTCTTCCAAACTCCTCTCAGTGGAGACTCCATATTTGAATTGTTGAAAATTGGAAAAATTCAAAACCCTTCCAAAGTTGTTTTAATGCCAACAACTCCAACATATGAATACACATTTGTTAAATTGCGTAAACTCTGAAAACCAAAACTATAAAACACAAAATCTAAAACATGAAATGAAAACAGTTTTTTGTCCTATGATAAATTCCACGCCCTGCCCTGCATCGTCTCGGGTGACTGTGACTCACGTGATGCTGTTCTGGTGCAGTGTGTCCAGCGCAGTGTTGCGGTCCTCGGTGGTGGCTCTCTTGTCCATGTTCCTGAAGCGCTCCATGGCGGAGATGTTCCTCTGGATGCTCTGCTTCGGGAGGTCGAGCTTTGACACAAATGTCAGCGCTCCACCATCGTCGCAACGGAACAGCATGGGGCAACAGTCGTGGCCCTGAACACGCAGACATTCATTTCAAATCATTATCCTTGATGACTGTTTATTTGTGCATGGAAATATGAAATGTGTTGTTTAATCTTACCGCAGCTACTAGACTGTTCTCTGAAACAAACATGACACTGAGGAGAGGAAGGAACTCCGTCTTCATCTGTGAAGGACTGAACACACAGATGAATGATCAGCTTGAGAACAACTGGTTTTAATGTATCAGGGATTAAACATTTGGTACACTATTTTGACAACATAAACCACAGTTTGCTTAATCTTCCAAACGGCTCGCCTGGATTAAACGGAATTTACAAAAACTCTATTTGCTAATTCATCTTGTGTAAAAAAGGCATTTTTCTGTTGAATATGCTTCAAAGGAACTTCACAATTGTGCTATTTCTTCATTCCTGTATATTAATTCTCCGGTAAAACATTGATTTGATCTATTCATTTTTTTAATATCTGTGTTTTTGTTAGATTCTTTAATGTTGTTTCAAATCAGTAAACAACACATATCTCATGCAGCACAAACTTTTTCAAAAGAGGTGTTATCCCAGAAATGACTTTTGTGTTAAAAAACAAAAACCTGGGCTGTGTTCACTTTAGCGTTTTCAGGTTTTCTAGACTGAGCCTGTTCATCTCAATTCATAACACCTGCAATTTGGTTGTTTATCTTTCTCGCCCTGTTGGCAATGCGGGTAGATGATCTGATTACAAATCGTGGCGTGACGAAAAAAGAGAAGACACCAACATGTCGTCAAATACATAACTAGTTAATGTTTTTTTTAAAATAATATTTCGATTAAAAACTGATGAGTTTAATGAAAGAAGTTAGTAACTTTTTGGACATTACAATTGTATCATCTTTTTCGTTTGCTGATGCAGTAAAAACAAAAAGATACTAAGTCAATTCAAAAACCTTAAAGCATTAGTAGCTTAAACTTCACAGTCCTCCCTCATGTCTATCCTAACTTTGCAAATATATTTTGAGACAGGAAATTGAGAAAACAGATTTGTTTGGCCTAGAGGTGTTTTGGTGGGTAACAGCGAATGTAAACATCACATTTGTTTGTTTACTCCACAGGGCATGTTTAATCTGAGAAACCTGCTGGTTACAATCATAAACAAGAATGCTATTTGTGCAGAAATGAAAATACCTGGCAGTCTTAGAGCTGTCCACCACAGTGACAGTGCTGTCATGGCTGACCCAGGCCAGTCGGTTACCAGAGGCTGAGAAAGAGACTGAGTGGACCCAACCCCCTCCACCTAACAGGCACAAAGTGGAGAAAAGGGCAGATCTGGTTTAGTTCAGGTTACTGCGACTCATATGAAAGAGATTTTTTATCAACACATCTGAAGACAAAGATACAGACCTGCTCCTCCGAACTCTGCTAGCACAGCCCCAAATGGCATCTTGCTGCCCCAGGGTGTGGGGCCTGGCTTCTCCTCAACCTCCTTAATGTAGGCTGAGAACACCCTGGAGGCCGGAGAGGGAGGGAGGAGGGGGGGGGAGAACCACAAAGACAGGAATCAAAAGGAGCAAAGGAAGAGCCTGGCCAGGTTTTCTGTCATATAATCCTCCATCTCATTTCATTTGAAAATGTTCAATGTTAACAGCCCTCACCTGCATTTAAAGTCACAGGATCCTGCCGCCAGCAGGATGTTGTTGGGATGCCAGTCCAGGCTGAGGATGGTGGAGCGGACCGGCTTCTTGATGTGCTTGCTCACCCACCTAAATGATGTGAAAAAGCACATATTTTATGTTTTTTGAGAAAAACGTCAGAACTTGTAACGTATATTCATGTTAAAATGCAATGATCATTTAATCTGATATTAAAAAGGGAAACAGACACAAGTTGTGGGTGTAGTTCAGTTAAACTAAAACCTTTGTTATCTTGTCTGCAGACAATTAAAAGACAAGACATCCATTTGTCGTGACAGATGGGGTCACTTATACAATTCAGAAAAACTGAATCAATGAGCAAAGCAACACAGAACAGACGGACTCGAAGCCAAAAATGACAATCCAGGTGACACATTTAGTGCACCATCTGCCTCAGAGCAGCTGCTGTGTCCCAAAGGAACACATTAATGGTGAATGAGTTTGGAGACTTTTTCACAAAAGGCCAGAAATAAATGTCAAAGTAACACTGTCTTATGCAATACTGAAATGAGAAAAAGGGACAACACACCAACCGTATACAAGAAACACATTTATAATCCCAGTGTTTCCCCTATCTACAAATAGTGGCGGCGCAGCGCAGCGGCTGAAATATGAGCGCAGCTGCTAGGGGGCGCCAGCCAGGTACCAAAAAATTTTTTTAAAAATGTTAAACTTTTTTTTCTTTCCTTAAAATAATAATAATTGGCGACCCTTTTTCATTTTTGATTGTTTGTTATGTGGATTTGTGTTACTGTATGTTCAATAAAGATGTATTTTTGCTAAATCTTGAGACATTGCCCCGGATCCCCCTAGAGGATGTGACGTCCAACCCCCAATTCAAACACGTTCATACAATACTGAATACATTTGAAGCCATTTTGACGTCTATTACCTATGTCAATAAGTTTCTGTTTTTGCAGTGTATTTGTCTTTTGTAGAGATTTTGCATTTATTCTTTACATATAAAATGTCGCCTAAAATCTCACCTAGGGCAGCAAATTGTCTAGAACCGGCCCTGGTACTAGGCCTCAAGAGCCTTTCTTGTGCTGACACATAGAAACAAATTGGTGGGGCGCACTTCGCACGCGCACACACTAAAAAATTCCACGCGCTCCGCGCTCACATTATGCTGGGCCCACATGCCTTAGCACCGCTGCTATGACTCCATCCTAGGGAAAACACTGAATCCCATTAACACATCAGCAAAACAATTGGAAATATACATTTGACTACTAACCTTGCCTCCATGATGTATCCAATTTTAAAAACAGATTTCAGCTAATTGTAATAATTGGACCAATATTCTCACCAGTCGTTCTCAGACTCGAAGTAGCAGACAGAGATGAGTCGAGCACCACTTCCAACGGCAAACTTGTTCTCCAGCGGAGACCACTTGACGAAGGTGGCAGCTCGGTTGATCCTGAGGATGACCAGGGTGGGCTTCCATACGCCCTCCTTCTGCGACCACACATAGGCGTTACGGTCTGCTCCACATGTCACTATACGGTCACTTTTGGGAGCCCAGTCAATTCCTACAACACAAAAGAGAGAGATTATGTAATGAGACATGTTTGCAACCTGTTTTAATGACATTACCAGACACACTTGTTTTGCATGTTTGTGGGTTAGTCATAGATACAAATAAGAATTATGCAGCCTCTTTAAATACCTGTTATGTGTCCATTATGCTCCTTCAGTTCATGGGTCTTAACCCACTGGTTACCACTCTTCTTGTAGATATGGACTTCATGGTTGTTTGGACTGATGGCAATTTCTACAGAGTTAAAGATAAAACCAGCAGGTTACTAGGATGAACGCACAGATAACAAACAAGTTGGACCAGTTTCTGGTATCTGCCATATGGCGAGCTGGAATACATGTTGTAAGAGTTTATAAATCCGAAAAACAAAAGTTTGAAATAAATGTGTTTTTGGGACCGAAGTTGCACTCCTGTTGGTAAATAAATATTTGATAGGTATAATAATTTGTTTTTAATATACAAATCAATCAATCAAAATGAAGGATATAATTCAACTAATGGTTGAACTGATCACAAAGAATAAACAATGGAGAAATTGTTAGTAAAATGTGATATATCTCCAAAGAAAATCCCAAGATTAAAGAATCTAAAATATTTGCATCCAATATGTCCATCACACAACTGATATCATTTTAAGTAAACAGTAGCTTAATATTATTTCTTACAGACAACCAATTATGAATATCAGAGGGCAACATTAAAGTGAATCATCAATAGTGTCAGCTTTTAAAGAAACATTTATGCAGGGATCTACTTGATGTTAATATTTGAATGCACTGGCTTTGACTTAAGGAGCTATAGAAGAGAATAGACTAAAGTAACGAACAAACAGTACATCTTCTCGTACAGAGCTTGGTAATGATACACTCAGATCAGGAAAGGTTTCAGCCTTACGTGTCCTGTCACTGTTCCACGCGTGGCAGGTGATGGGTTCCAACAGAAACTGATGAAGGGACATCTTGTCTGGGTGCGGTCCTTAAGTGGAGCTCTGCGAAGTCACACAGCAAAACTTAGTTTAGCGACGAGCGACAAAACACACCCAGAGAAAACAGCTGAACTAAACTTTGCCTCTACCGGCTTTACAGCTCCACACATGACAGCGTATATAAAAAGATGGAATACATTTCAAAATCCGTTCACTTTATTGCAACGTTAATTAGATTGTTAGCCTGGGAGCACTGACGTTAGCTAAACCCACTGATAAAAGGCAAACATTAAAAGGCTGCTTGAACTAGCCAATGTTAGCCACAATAATATGACTAAGCTAACGTTGGACAGCTTGCGTTCACCACAGTGAAACACTTTTGTGGAATTGGGTTGAATAGCCAAGTTAATATCGTTTTACAATTGTCTTATTATAAATCGTTAACAGCAAAACATAACTAGTTAATCAACATTGCTAGCTTACAGTTCACGGGTGTTAAACAGGCCTTTCAGCCATATTGGTCTTTTTGAGAAATATATAGACGTGTTGCTATCCACACTGTGCCCAGGCGGCCTCTCTTTACTATGTCAGACCCCGGTTTTTCCTCGGAGGAGATGCCTTTACTGCCAATGATAGCTGCTACACTGTTAGCCGTACATTCCGCTAGCCCGCTTGCTAACTCACCTCGTCAATCCAGTTCTCGGTTAGCCGGCAAGCTAAGTGACGCTAGCGGGGAAAGGTTAGATCGGGGATGGACCTGAATTCGCGGACTCTGGTCAGTCGACACGAATTCGTCCAGGAATGTTGAGGGAATGTCAAGACGGCCAGTAGGATACGACCGGGAGCATCCGGAAGCTAACTCGGCAGCAAAACCCGTGGATGCCTGGCTGACAGCTAGCTTAGCCTCATCACGCTTGCTGTTACATTCAAGTGGAAAAACCTCGGCTCGTTCACATTGACGTCCCCACACAATCTCTGACGAACGCGTAAGAGCTCCTCTAGTGGTTCAAATAGAAACACCCAAAGTGGCCAAACCGGTTACAAAACACCACCATCTAGTGCATCGTGTTGACTAATCCCCCATTAAAACTCAGCAGGGCAGTGGCTATGAAAGACCACAGTGTCAGGATTTATAAACTGAGATAAAGGATTAATTCCCAAGGGCCCTGAAAGCGCCATAAACAATACAATGGTCACAAGGGCCTTGAGATGGTTAAGGTTACCTGACCTTGAGTACCTGTCATGGACAAGGTCCCTTTGTTGAAATCTACTTTAAGGTAATAATGTCAATGTTCTAACATGGTGAAAAACTTCTAATTAGTTACAATTGAATTATGTAAATTGTAATCCCTGGAATACTCAGTTAATCAGCATTTTTTTAAAGCATTTATGCACAACCAAGGAGGTCTGACAGATTTTTCTTAATGTAGCCTACTTACACATAAATGGACATGAACAGCTAAGAACAAGGAGGACAAAGCTAGAAAAAAGGTAGGGAATATACATGACTATATGTAGCCTACATTGGTATGTCAAAATGTAGATGTGTATTGTTTCACATGGGTGGAGGTGAGTGATGAGAATTTCAGCTGCTTGAGCTATTTGTTTCCTTAGCTTCTCCACTTTAAACCCACTCCAGGCCACTTCCCAATCGCACCACACTGAACTTGCATTTCAATTTACAACGGGGGCCAATAAGCACATTTTTGAAGTATGGTTTCTAAAGAAGACTTATTTGGCATGTTCTTCACCCATTCATTATGTGCTGAGGCTTTCATGGCTCACCACATATTCAAAGACGACATTGGCCTGTACTTTTTAAAAATGTATTGCAAAGAATATTATCATTATTCTGCCAATATACTATTTCTGAGAGTTTATTATGACCAGTGTTTTCACCAAGTATGCAATGGTGGTAAAAAAAACCTGGATACATTTGATTAACGCTTTTATTATATACCACATAACATAGCTCATCATTTAAGTGATGCCTGTATTTGAACTTTAGGTACCATTGCACTGACCAAAGTCTCCCACTAATAAACAAGCTGGGAGTGGTAAGGATTTTATTTACATAAAGAATGTTATACAGGTCTTGTTCAATGTACATCAAAGACACCTATCATTCATTTATTGAGCAACAGTATACATCTAAACCTTTTAATCCAATTGGTCAACCAATAGAGTGAAAGAAGTTAAGATGCTTCCAAATTACAGTCAATCAATCTCCATTCAATCTGCATTAAACCTTACACAAATTGGCTCTTCTGTCAAACTTAAAAAATCACATTTGCCTCATTTTAAAGATCATTTTGCTATTGCCTTTTGGGTAAAAGGTTCTTCAACCAATCAGAGGAGATTTCAATCAGCACCTCTTATTTGCACCTGGTACACATGCAGATGAACTGCAGCTGACTGAAAACACATCAGATTCTTTTTCACACATTTTAGCATACATTTTTAAATGGAGCCATTATCAAAAACAGATGACCCGTTTCCTACTCCTCCGCCGTACTTCTTACCAGGTAAAGAAACTCTCAATATACTTACAGAGCCAGAAATCATAGGTTTTAACAGTACACAGTTAAATAAAGTTTGTAAATTGTTCTTCCAGATGAAAATCAAACGGTACGAGCTCCGAGTATCTACCATATTAACTCGCCTTTCAGCCCTCCACCACCTCCTTGCTTCTCTTTTTCTCCTGGAATTGGCTGCTCCACTGAAACATACCCATCTCTTACTGGTACAAGCTCACCTAACATCTGCCTCCATTTTGAATATGTAGAGCAGGCCTAAATGTCATTTTGTGTCCCTTTCACATTTCATTTCATGGCTGTTATTCCCCTTGTCATAATCGTTGTAAATCTTTGTGTTACTTTGCAGCTGTTCTGCATGTATTTGTAGTAGTTTATCACTTTATAGTTTTTTTATATATCTTTAGGGTCATTTTGCATCTCTTCCTAGTTGATACAAGTCTCTTTGAGTTACATTTTGGAGGTGAAAGCCAGGGAGGACTGACACTTTGGGACCTTGGGCCTGTGTCCAGTATTTCTGTTTACTAAGTTGTCCATGCATGGAATGGGAGGAAATGCAACAATTTGTCATTCAGAAATAATTCAAGTTAAGACATTTCTGCTTTTGGATGACACTATGGTTAAACCTCCTACAGCATTGATCAGAGAATGTTAAGGACTTTAAACTATAATTTGAAGTTAAGGTATCTAAATATCCTAATGTTACATTTGAAAATAAGCTTTCCTTTTCCTCCCCACATGTCTTCTCTCCAGCTTCCCCTGCTCCTATATTTACACCCAAGCTGAAGTTTGTGAGCTATGAGACGGAGCTGTGTTGCTCTCCGGGTCAGACGACATGTATTTCCTGTCAGACGCGGGTCACCACGCAGGTCATCTTCAAAGTCGGGAGGCATGCGTGGCTCATGTGTCTGGTGTTTGTATTATGCTCGTAAGGGACTCGATCAAATACCTTAATCTGGTTATCTAATTACCCAGCATCATTCACACATTGAAAATGCAAAGACTGATGTGTGATTTCTGTCTTACAGCTTGGTGCTTGGATGCTGTCTGATTCCTTTTTTCGTGAACCATTTCAAGGATGCCTATCACACTTGCCCTCGCTGTTATAGGGTCCTCCATGTACACAGGAGGTCCTGCTGTGAATGAAAACACACACGATTGACTACCAAGAAGTTAAACTGATTGCTGATGTGTTTTTTTTATCTGGATAACCTAAAATGAATATATTAATGTGTAAATTGTAAGAAGAATACATTGCTTTCTGTCATGTATAATTTAGACATCTTTATATTTTACCTTTTGTAACAAAATCATATTAAATAAATATTTTCTGTGTCAATCGTTTTTCATGTTTCTTGTCCTTTTTTAAAGCGAAGCCATAAGAGGAAAATGCTGAGCAATGCAATCGCAAGTTGTGTATATAAATGATGCCTTTAAATTTAATTCCACATTTGACAAAATCAGAACTTGTTTTTAAACTGCTGATGAACTGCTTGTTTAACGCTGTGAAGAAAGCTAGAAAGTTTACCTTGAGATATTTTATGTTCTTACGCAATCAGAATACCTTTATCCGTCTCAGAGGAAATGTACATTGTTACAGAAAGTAAGGAGCCAATTACTATAACCGAGGACATGAGTGAACTTTCATGCTCCAATTAGACCTTGTTTCCACAGATTTTTCATTGCAGCTACATTGCATAGATCCGTGGTTCTCAAACCTTTTCTGTCATTCCCCACTTTGAACAGGTGGGCCTTTTCAAGCCCCACCTGTTCCTCATCGCTCCAATAAAATGGTAGGCAAAGCTTAAAATGTTCAAATGTATCGTTCTATATCAGGGGTCTCCAACCTTTTTTAGGATGAGAGCTGCTTTCAAAAAATAAAACAAGTCGTGAGCTACTTTTACTCCTTTTTTTGCAGTGTATATATTTAGCACATTTGAACATTATTATATGCTTGCCTTTAACCTTTGTGTGCTGTTTGGGTCATGTGGGACCCGTTTTCAGTGTTTACTAAAAGAAAATATATGCAATTTAATTATTTTAACCTGCTTTATTTGCGGGTGGACCTCACCTCCGCCAGGGGGGTCCGGGGGCATGCACCCCCGGGAAGATAATTATTTTAATGTTGAAGTGAAATGCCTCAATTTGGTGCACTTTAAGCAAAAGATGAATTTATGGATACAGCTCTCAACACACTGAAAGGGAGCTGTATTCTTTTCAATATTCCAAA